CACACTATCCGCAAGACTCTAATTTATGGACGAGCCAATCAGAGGCGTCTGAAAGATTTCAAGGTTACAGCGCCAACTTCAGTGTTTAATGTTAACGTACGATCGGTTCACAGGGAATTTTGTACAAAACGTGGTAATTGAGCGGCTATAACAAATAAAACGGCGAAACTATAATTTGTGGATGAATCAATCAGGTACAAGATAATAGATCTCGGATTTTAACACAAAAGCCTATTATCCATTTGGCTAAATAGGTTTCAGGCATTATAGCTATTGTCAGTTCGTGATGAAAACCCCATATATAATTCCCAACTGAGGCAAATTACGACAATTATCGCGAACTGGATAATAGAAGTACCAGTAACACTGGCTGCAGCCAGGTACTACAATATATAGGGATGAGTGGAGAGCGTACAGACTCATATGTAGGCTTGGTCATGTGCGTCATGTCATTATCCAGAGGTGGGCATTTTGTGTACTGAACAATCGAAGTGCACACAAATAATATTGAAGCTATGTGTTCGAGGCTGAAAGAGTTTTTGAGTCTTTATCATGACTCCAGAGCCGACTATTCTGTAGCCATATTGATGAGTTCCTCTGTTATATACGTTATGAATTTGGAGCGTTTGAACCTCTTTCTAACTTTGACAGGTTTTTCAACCACGTATAAGAAGTGTATCCACTTTCTTTGGTTTTTTATAATATATTTTTCCTCAATACTGACTGGTTGATGATTGCCTAATATTTCTCTGGGTCACTTAAGATTCGTTCAAAGGTCGTCTCGACAAATAGATCAACAATACGGATTGCACAAAAAAACTTCTTTACATTTAACTTTCTATCATCGTTTGACTCTTATCTACATTGTCCTACATTTGAACTTGAGTATCAATACCAGTTAAATAAATGAGTGTGTTTAAATTTACAATGAGATCATATAAAGGAATACTATGAAAAGAAAGTAATATAATTCGGGTGAATAATGAGATGACATGACTTATGAGACTATGTAATAAAAGGCTAATCACAAATTATTTTATTTTATAATGTAGGGCCAGCGAAATGTCATTAAGCTCTAGCCAAATCATCCGGCAGTTGGGCCATTGAATATCGAGCAAATCATCGATCCTCGTCAAGGTCAGGGACAACCAACGCACATCAGTTAATCGTATGCCATGGACTGACCCATGCGGCAGTGATCTTAATTTCGCTTGTATCTGCTTTAACTAATATATTTCTGTTATAATATCCTCTGTGTTGTACAGTCTTCAAAGCATCTATGGTACCTTGATACGTCAATGGGGTAGTCCACGTAGGGTGCTGACCACGAGGTGTGACTTCGACGTTAGCTAGTTTGTCACACCATTCACGTCTAACTCGAGTAGGCCTCCAATCATTTCGACATAGATCATCCACGTTGGTGATCTACGATAACTAATATAACTGAGGATCGTGGTGCTTTTATATTTTTCTATTCCTAGCCTTTCGTTTAATCCGCAAACTATTGTCATATTTATTAATATCCCAGATTTATCGTCAACTAGTTATTATCTTAACACTCTGGTCTTGTATTGAGTACAAACCATGATTTTCTAATCGTGTTGTCATATAATCAGACATTTCAAATACATTATCGCTTGGGTTTTAAGTTGAAATCGAATTCAGTACAACAGAAAACTGATCTGCCCTTCATCTTCGTCTTTTGACTGGCCACTGGGTAAGAAAAAGCTTTAGATCGATACATTATAGAGCGCTGATTGTTATTTACTGACTGATGTATTAATTGGTGGATAGAAGGCCTACGGTTCTACTGCGAATGTAGGTGAACTAATCGGTAACCAGAGTAGAGAGAAAGTACACAATCGATGTCTTGTCGTTACGGCCAATTCACACGGACTGAGATACAATCCAAGTGTCTGTTCTTCCAGCGTAAACTAAATAACCAATCAGTTGGCTAATGGGACTGAAGTTATAGACAGCACAATATTATCCCACAAATACATACACAAAGCTTCATGGGTCTCTACGTATCACACCACGAAGTAATAGATCGACCATATCTGCATCAATCAAAAATTCGGAAGGACAATGGAAAACGTAAGAATCAGGAAAGCAGCTGACGTGGCTTCAAATCACCACCTGGTTGCGGCCAAGATAAAACTGAAGCTAAGAAGCATTGGACAACTGGGCAAACAGTATTACAAAGGTTCAATACAACCTTCATTCAACATACTGTCAAACTCAAAAAATTCAAAATAGCTCTCGACAACAGGTTCCAAGTCTTACAGGATCTACGGGAAGAAAAATAAATTACTGTGCATAACAACTGGAAGGAGATGAAAGAAACTTTAACTTCAACGTGTCTGGAGGTGCTGGGCCGTCAGAAGTGTCGTCATAAGGAATGGATCTCTATCGAAACCCTGCACAAGATTCAAGAAAAGTAGAAAAAAGACAGCAATTAACAACAGCCGAATACAAACAGATAAATTCAATGCACAGGCTTAATACATCAAAGCAGACAAGCGAGTGAAGAAGAGCATAAGAGACGATGAGCAGAAATACGTGTGAGATCTAGCAACGACAGTGGAAAACTCCACAATATAAGGAAGTGTGACACAACAAAGAAATTGGCAGAAAAATATAGTAAACCAGTGAGGCCAATCAAAAACGAAGAAGCCAAGCCGATCACTGTGGGTCGCGAACAGAGGAACAGACTGACAGAACATCTTGAAGAACTCCTGACTAGGCCAGCTCCATTGAACCCACCGGACTTTGAAGCAGCACACACAGACCTTCCTACAGGTGTCGCTCCACCAACCATAAAAAAATCACGACTGTCATCAGACAAATTGAGATTGGGAAATCAAGGGGACCTGATTATATACCAGCTGAAACACTGAAGTCAGACACAGAAGTGACAGCAAGTATGTCTCACATTTTATTGAGAAAGATTTGGGAGGAGGAACATGTACCGACAGATAGCAAAGAAGGATACGTCACCAAGATACCATAGAAAGGAGATCAGCGCAAATGAAAGAACTACAGAGGAATCACCTTATTATCGGTACCACTAAACGTTTACAACAGTGTTGCTGAACCAGATGACGGAATAAGTAGACCCTCAGCTCCGATATTAACGGACAGGATTCCATAAGGATCAGTTGTGTACAGACCAAATCGCGCCACTACGGATCATCTTTGAGCAACCGATTGAATCAGACTCGTCACTATGAATCAGCTTCTTCGACTATGGGAAAGCCTTTAACTGTTTAGATAGGAAGACTTTACGGAAACGCCTTTGACACTACGGAACATATGAGATTGTCAATATCACATGGGATTCATACGACGAACTACAGTGCAAAGTCGTCCACAGTGGTCAGCTAACAAATATATTCCAAGAGAGGACCGGAGTCACTTTCTCTTTCGTCTTGTGGTCGACTGAATTATGAAGACGGAATACAGTGAACAACTGGGATGCGGCTAAACGATACGGACTCCACGAATGACCAAGCCTTTCCATCACACAACACGGAAAACACCAACCCAATCACAGTTGATGGCGAAACTCTGAAAACGGTGGAAACTTCCACGTACCTGAACAGCATAGTCGATGAAGAAGGAGGATTTGATGCAGACGTAAAGACGAGGATTGGCAAAGCGAGGGCCGCATTCCTACAATTGAAGGTCATATGGATCTCGAAATGACTGTCTGTAAACTAGCATCAAATTCAGAATCTTCAATACGAACGTCAAAAAAGTTAATTCTACTATACATAGCTGAAACTTGGGAAACTAATGCAGTCATCATCAAAGTAGTACAGATATTTATAAACAATTGTTTACACAAGACACTGAATGTCTTTTGGCAGGATACCATCAACAACAACCTACTGTGGAATAGAACAAACTATTTTCCAGTTGAAGAGGAACTTAGGAAAAGACGCTGCAAGTGGATAGGCCGCGCATTGTGGAAATCACCAAACTTCATCACGATGCAAGCTCTCACTTGGAATACTGAAGCGAAAAGGAAATGAGGAAGACTAATGGATATATTACGTCGGTGACTGGAAGCAGATATCGAAAGAATGGATGGCAACTGAAAACAGCCGGAAAGGATTGCCCAAGACAGAGTCCGATAGTGAATCGTGGTAAGCGGCCTATGGTCCTACCATAGGGGTTACAGGCGAAAGAAGCTTGTAAGTGTTGTGGTCAGGTCTGTTTGTATTTAAACCATGTGTGTCTGAAATATACTATTCATACAGCGAAGTGTTATATTTATGTCCTGGACTGAACAGACTGAGCTAGGAGAAAAGCTACTGTATGGAGGGTCATTAAGGATTAAGAGTTGTACTGGTTAACGCACTATTGGTTTAGCACAGTGAGAGGGTGAGAGAAGTCGGTATTATGACCAGTAACTTTTTTACATGCTGATTGATAGAAACATAATTCATGACAAATATTAGGAGTGAGAAAAATTGAGAGTACGGGGTTTCGGAAGGATTCAAATAGATTGTCAGAATAATTTGGTCTATAATGAAAAGTACTAATTAATGCCTCCTGAAACATCTGCTAATCAACTAGCCTCTTCATGAAACGATCAAGAAGTGCTCCTCTTCGATTCAATAAGAGAATACATGTATCTCGGCATAAGGACTCAAAGGAAGGCTAGATCAGCCGAGAGATATGTTGGTTAACACTAGCCCAGGCCTCTTAGCCTTCATTCAAAAACTTACGTTCGTTTGCTGATAATTTCTGTAGAATTATGATATATCTTTATATAGCATCACACTGTAATTCCTCAAGCCACTGATACTTCTTCTTCCATTTCTTTCGCACATGTTCTTGAAAAGACGCCGATTACAATATTGTATAGTGAATATTGTAACTGTGGCACTTAAGTTTAGAGGAAGTATTTTGCCGCGGTATTCGATAGTTGGGAATGAAGGCGTTAATTGGTTTGTTTTCATTCATCTGGATTTACTTAATGCATCATCGGGCATTATTGCTGCATGTTCTGTATATGTATAAGTGTCTTTTATTTGTCTAGCGATATATATTTATGAGTTGCACTTTGTTTAGTTGGTCTGTTCCGTGAATATGATTCTTATTGTTATATACTGAGTAGTCAAATTAAGATCAATAGTTAATCCTACATTACACTAATCTGGACTTATATGCCTTTACTCTTCGTAAGCTTGGGACTTCCCAACCATCGAGTCAATGTATACAAATAGCCAGTTCGTGTAAAAACCCAGTCTTCAGTAATAAGGAGAGGAGGTCTATCGAGTTGTATTAATCCTTACAGTTTGTAATACTGTGGAGGTTCAATCTCGTTCTGAATATATCAACGTAAGGTGCTTATTCTACGTGTTCCGGTAGAGAAGTCCAGCAATTTACTAATTGGCGCGAGAAACGTAACTCCAGACGTAAAAGATTTGATCTCGGTTTTTTTTAACTTTCTTCGAATGTCCTCTCATATGACCAGTCCTAGACGAAAGTAAAAGACGAGACATGTTAATACCAAGGTCATCGTTCAGTATACGATAAGCCAATATTAGATCACCCCGTATTCTACGGTAAGATAACGGAAATAAGTTAAGGTGTCTCAGTCTATCTTCACAATATAGGTCAAATAGACCTTTTACCATCTTATTACCTCGTCGTTGGACTCTTTCCAGCATATCTGCTTCACACTTGATACAAGGACTCGCTGCTTGAATCCCATATTCCAAATGTGGTCGCACGTAAATCGGGTATAATAGTCTAAACATTTCATCTAAATACTGGAAAGACCTACGAATAGACCATAACACCCTATAGCCTTTCGCAGCAGCAGCCTTACAGTGACTAGTGGTTTTAAGACCACTGCTTAATATGACTCCTAAATCTTTATAGTTTCTTACTTTGAGTAGCACGAATTCATATATTGTGTAGTGATACGAATCATCAGTTATTTCATTGCATCACCACACTCTTATTAGGATTTACTTCTGGTGACCACCTGTCCAACCATGCCACCAATGAGCTAAGATCATCCTGTAATACTATTCTATCCGACATACTGTGTATGGGTATTTAAATTTTTATGTCATCAGCGAAGAGTAGAACGGATGATTTTGTTACGCTTGGCAATTCATTTGCATAAAGTAAAAAGAGAAGAGGACCAAGGGTTGTACCAACGACATATTTTTATTACGAAGTTTAGGATGGCTTTAAGACATTTGCTAACCTAAAACTAACTCTAGGGCCAAGAAATATTTGTCTGTAACTGGGGTCAGGTGACTTTTTCAAGTCGAAATATATGCTTAACGAAGCATCAACGAGATTTTTGTTCATGAAGTTGGTATGTCATTCAATCCTGACAAAACCAACTGTTTTATCTAAATTCTGACTGGTTTATTCCTCCAATTAGTCACTTCTGAGAATTGAAATTTTTAGATGTTCCAATTCTTTGTCTCAAGTGTCGCCAATAAACACATTTTTTTCAACACTAATTATAAATGTTTTAAAACATTTAATCTCGGCTTTAGCTGTAGTTAATTCTGAGTTTACGAATATCCGACTAGCCGTAGACTCAGCTGAAAATGTTACAACAGTCCTCTCTCTTATTACTTTTCAGCCTCTTAATAATCCTTAAAATCGATGAGTACCTGCCTTAAAGTTAGTAGGTAGAAGAATTAACAAGACTAAACCCTATTTAAACTCCCTAAACTTAGACTTCCAGTTCCATAATCACTTGAATTAAATTGAGATTATTGGTTTTATATCTGTTTCATTATCTACTGGTTAATACAGCTGAATACGGGAAATCCATCGATGACTTCCTTGGTGTAGATTCTCAACAAACAGTATAATCAGTTTCTCCACAAAAATGCCTAAAAATTCTCATAAAAATAGTCAGTAGCATTCATGGTAGCCGGTGACCAACGATTGGTTCATACGCCATTTGTCTATTCAGGATACTGGGGCCGATTTTCACGATTGGTTTGGAATGAGGGTTTTCTAACTCCCCTAGGTAGAACTCTCCATCTCGACCAACCCAATTAAAGTGCCGGGCATTCGCTTTTCGTCCTCTCAATTTCGTAAACAACACCCCCGCCACGAGAAGGTAGTGAGTAGGACTTCCCTGGCAGAGGCTGTATACGCATGGTCATGTGAGAGCATTTCGAGAGAGTGAGCTAACTCTGCCCACTCTCGGCCATATCAGGGCATTTGGGGGGCATTCATGCAAAGACTTCTTAAAGCTGTCCTGTTCCTTGTCTTTAAAAATTGAATACACATAAGTTCTTCTATACAACTATTTAGTGTGAATTGCAATCAATACCCTTACATTTATTGGATACTTATCGTTTGTTTTTTCTTCATTTCTTTAACACAGAAAAGTGTACATCAGAAAAAAATACACAAGATAATTGGGATTTAATTTTAGAAATTTGTGAAAAATACGCTAAACAAGAGTAGGAATTTTTTTCATTTTCAATTGTCTAGTTACATAGGCCAGCAATTTGTATTCAAACAATATGTAAACGAATATTTCATAAAAATCCAAATGTATCTATACGATCTATAACAGTAAGTAAACTATAATATTTATACAAATGATTCCCTAACTCCCCTTCCCCCCCGAAATGAAAGTTATTAGATGCATGCAGTAAAAATTGTGGTAAACAATTTAATCGAGAATTAGCTTCAAAAGATTTTTCACAATTAATCAAGAAAAATTTTTCGGTAATCATAATTCTGATTTTATTCAAAGTAACTTCATTGTAGAGTTTACAACGTATTCCATCTATTAAATTAATTGATATCTTTGAAAAATGGTCAATTGAATTTAAAAATGATTCAGAATTAGCGTATATTCTCTGATTATTCATTCGAATAGAGTTTTTCATTTTTTTTCATATTTTAGATTAGCAGCTAGTTTTTATAATTGGGTTAAAACGGAATATCCAGATCTTGTGAAACAAGCAATGCATGAAAGACAAGTTAGTTTAAGAGAATGTTCTTATGAGATTATAATCATTTCATATATATTACTTTTTAACAAATGAATTCTTTCTTCCAGTACTATATCCATCCTTATATTCAATCTTTCTATTATATATTACCACCACTGAATTAACTACCTCTATGAATCCGGTGTTCATTTTGCTGTGCTAATGGGGTGTGACAACTTGGATCGATGCATATATTTGCCTGCTCTTACGTTGTAGCTCACTGACTGTTCCTGTAGTGTCATGTTTATTTATATACAACTATTTTAGTAATATCTCGGTTGTTATGTGTTTTGTTTCTCTCTACACAAAACATCTTTACAGACTAATAAAAGAAACTGGAATTATTAAATCAAGTGTAAGTCAGACTATTTCGAAAAAAGACGACGCCCTCATCTGCTCTCAGTCCAGATGTTTAGAACGATGGGCGGAACATTTCAGAGAACAGTTCAGCTGGTCTTCAGCTACTCTACAACTACCCTCCATTCCTAGACAGTGTGAATGGAACATTGAAGTAGGTCCCTCAACTCTAGCTGAAGTTCAGAAGGCTATAGTTAGTCTGAAACGAGGAAGGGCAGCTGGTCCAGGTGGACTGGCTCCAGAGGTCTTTAAGGATGGTTGTCCAATTTTAGCGATTAGGTTGACTAATATTTTAGCTAAAATCTGGGAGTTAGACGTTATTCCATCTGACTGGTCACAATCACTTATCGTCCCAATATATAAGAAAGGGTCAAAATCATCCTGTGACAACCATAGAGGGATTAGTTTAACTAATATAGTATCTAAAATACTAGCCTCGATAATTATCAGACGCCTAACTAAGACTCGTGAACTGCAAACACGAGAGAATCAAGCTGTCTTCAGAGCTGATCGTGCCTGCATCGACCACATATTCACCATTCGTCAGGTCCTAGAACATAGGCATACTTATCGACGTCCGATAATGGTGGTCTTTCTCGACTTGAAAGCAGCATTTGACTCCGTAGACCGCGAGATTCTGTGGCAGTGTCTGTCATTGAAAGGCGTACCCCAGAAGTACATAAACCTCGTAAAGGCCCTTTACTCGAACACTACTAGTCGAGTCAGAGCTTATGGCGAACTGTCATCTGCTTTTGCAACCACATGTGGTGTCCGTCAAGGCTGTCCACTTTCCCCATTTTTGTTTAACTTCATCATAGATCTACTGATGGGAATAACTTTCTCGTCGACTGAGGTCTCGGGTATTGATCTCCTTCCAGGAAGTCTACTTGTCGACATAGAATACGCAGATGACATAGTCCTGTTTGGTGAAGACGCTGATAAAATGCAGTCTTCTGGTAGCACTAAGGAACAATGCCAGAATGTTTGGGGTGCGCTTCTCTCCCTCTAAATGTAAGTTGTTGCTTCAGGACTGGTCTGCGTCAACACCTGAACTAAGGATAGAGAGCGAAGTAGTCGAACGCGTTGACAATTTCACTTATCTTGGAAGTTTGATCAGCCTTAATGGGTTGGTGTCTGACGAAATCTCAGCACGGATTCGAAAAGCACGTTTGACTTTTGCCAACTTACGTCACCTATCGTGAACGCTAGATATTCGTCTATCAATTAAGGGACGAGTATACTACGTAATTAATAGTGAGGTTAGACGTAGAGTATTAGGGAATGATGATAGTAAATCAGTTGATAAGGTTGTGAATCTTCATCGACTGAGATAGTTGGGCCACGTGCTGCGTATGCCTGAACTCCGATTACCATGACGTGCAGTGCTGATTAGTGTTGGAGATGGATGGAAGAAAGTTAGGAGTGGCCAAACCACAATGTGGCATCAGTGCTTGAGGTCACTAACTTCTAGTCTTAGCCATGTTGGTAAATGTAGACTACTTGGTTGTGGTTCGCGTGACTATCGTAACCAATATTTGGAGACTCTTGGTGACATGGTTCATAATCAATCACAATGGCGTAGATGTATGCACTCTCTGTCTTCCATTAAACTAAGAGATTAAAATCGCTTCATATCTTTCTTTATGCGTACTTATTCTTTCTTCCTGTGCTATATCCTTATACGCAATCTTTCTTTCATATATTACCACCATTGACTTAACTCCTATGAATCCAGTGTTTATCTTGTCGTGCTAATGAGGTGTGGCAACTTGTACCGATGCATATATGTGCCTGGTCCTAATTTGCAACTGACTGACTGAGACTGATATTAGGTATGTTTCGGTAAAGTTCAATAGTGAATTATTGTCGTAAGTGGTTATCTCAAGTTGTGTTCACTAAACTTGATATGGCAACTTGAGTTGGCGTACATTTATCCCTGGGTTTACACTGACTGACTAACTGAAGAGGCCTACCGTCAGTTACTACTTACCTTCCTTATTGATCTACTACAAATGACAGTCTCTTTTCAACACTTTGTAAACTGATTTTTAGCACTAAATCATTGTAGCCTATCAAAAGTTCATAACGTATCTACTATTAGGTGTAAGCTCTAGCAAAATTCCGAATTTCCAATACTTTAAATAACAATATAAGCATATCTAAGATACATTTCTCACCTTGAAAACTGAAGAATATTGTCTCACAACTAACTTGAATCACCATCTCGTGTAACAGTAATAGATGAAATCATTTAGCGAATATAGATCACTTTACTCACCAGAATCTTAATGAATGCCCAAAAGTTGGTCAGGTTTTTACTAACATCATCCATTTCTAACATCTAAAATATTCAAATACTTATCGCAAGATAAATGTATTTCACAGTAGCATACATTTTTCTCACTATTTGTACAACATAATCATTGAATAATGAAGGTAATCAAATGTTTTTGGAGGTACCTAATCGTAAATGTCACGTTATATTCATCTTACTTTGATCACTAGTATAAGGTATCTTTTTGGGAAATCTTATGGATACTCAATTGTGCATTTCTCCTACTGCTGTAATTAATCGTTCAAGCTATAAACAAGCCAGTGTAGGAAAGCGCAATTTGTTTGCGTATCCTAACCATCTGTGTTTAATGTTAGTTAACAGCTGTCAACAAAATATCACGGATTTATAATAATATTATGATAGGATATTGTCGATGCAGTTTTTCAAGTTCCAGTTATGGAAATTGTTATCTCTTGTAATCGCCAATTTGTTATGGCTCCAAATACTAATTGATATCACGTGCTATATTCTTAAATCAAAATTCAAACTCTCGATTAGCTCAATTATATTGCCGGTAGAACCGGTGACCTATTTACTAATTGACCAATGAACAACAACGATACCTTAACGTTTATTGGTCCTCCAGTTCCTCCTAAGTCAGTTGTTAATCAGAATATGCGAATAAGAGATAGATTATGACTCAAAGCACACAATCATCTACCTGAAGAGCTTGATGACCACATAGCACATAAAATAAGAAATCACACTTTAATCACAATCATACCCAAAAGTAGTAGAGGGTGAAGCAAAAAGTGCATAATTAACAATAACTAAAGAATGATAAAATGTATTATGACAGTTAATAGATGCACTGAATGTTTAAAATACGAGTAATATAGAGATACGATGATAAATTTATCAACTAGTTACGCAATAAAAATACAAATCATTCAAAAAATAGCCTTGAAAGTTCTGACTTTTTCCAATATTCATCCTGTTATTCATAGAAACAATCTATTGTGTGTTGTAATGCATGTCTTCATCATACTGATTACTTTATTCGTAAAGAGAGTATACGACATAATAATTATCTTTCCTAATATTTTACTTTAACAGATAGTTAAACATGGTCCTTCACGTCAACATGTTGCACAATTACAAGCTAAAGAAGAAGAAGATCTAGCACAAGGTAAATAACTTTTATATTATAAACTTCATTTGAATAGTTCCCCCTTATTATATATTATCATCCTATTTACAATAAACTTTATGTAGCTTTATCTTTGTATATGTTTTAAAAATGTTCAAAGCTTATTATTGTGGACCGCCGGGTGGCTACTCTAATTTCTACCGACTGACCAACTTCAGATATCCCAATACGACCCCCATACTGTTCCCAATCTCCAATATATCAGAACACGAACCGTAGATGAAAATTGTTTATGGGGTCAGGAGAAGAATAAGAATTTACAGAAAAATGCATATTTATACAGTTAGGACTACCGTGAATATTGACCAATAGGAAAATGACACCATTTCACGTTCAAGGATAGCAATTAGACTTAACAGGATAATTTTTAGGATATTTTTCTGAATATTCCAACACTTATCAACACAAAGAAACGTCTCAGTTACAGATTGTTATGCTCCTCAATAATTTGAGAAAAAATGAATCAGTTGAAATTCTGATATATTCTTCTCAAGTTCAAGTATGCTAGTTCGTCTATCGACTAATTGGTTAACTTGATAAATGTCTAGGCTATTATGAGTTAACTTTGATCACTAATGAAGTAGTCTTAACTTATTTATTTATTTATTTTATTTCAACACATAGATATTGGTACAAGGAGGCACCAAATACATATGCGCCACACAAATCTCATTTGATATGTGAAGGGCTGTGATACTGCCCGGGTGCCCAAACCAAAGCAGGTGGTTTTCTTAGGAGGCCACACCCTGAGCCTTCGACCTGAAGGTCTAATCCACAAGGCAGTGGAGCATCGTAAGGAGATTCAGTCCCATGGAAGCCGGGGACCAACAATTGGTTCATACGCTATTTATTCCCTCAGGTTACTGAAGCCCATGTGCACCATTGATTTGGTTTGGGATCCGGTTAAAGCGCCCTACATTCGCTTTTCGTCCTAACATTTTCGTAAACAACACCCCCTCCACGAGAAGGCAGTGAGTAGGACTTCCCTGGCAGAGGCTATATACGCGTGGCCATAAGAGAGCATTTCGAGAGGGGGAGCAGACTCTCCCCACCCTCGGCCATATCAGGGCATTTGGGGGCAATCTTAACTTATATAAGTTTTAGAACGTATACCCTTCTTCTAGCCCAGTTTTCAGTTTCATAGTTAAATATATAACATGCAATAAGGCAGTTGCATTTCTTATATTAATCTCTCATTACGATAGTATGGAATTATTTCCTGATCTGTACATCAACAGAAATGATAAATTACAGCACAGGCATAACTATATCAAAAGTGAAAGTAAGAAAAAGTTAGGTCACTAATCAACTATAACTAAGGAATAATAAATTATACAACGATAATTAATGGATCTATGAATAGTTTACAATAATTTTAATGTAGAAGGCAATAATAACACAGTTATCTAATTATTATGCAATAAAAATGTGAATGATAATCCGCAAATTAGTTTCAATGTCTTCAATATTCAATCCGTTATAACACAAATAGTGTCTTTCTTGAATTCCAGTATTCCTTCATTCATATACCTATTCACTCAGTGTTTCCAAATATTTGGGGCCCCCAAATTCCCTGGTACGGCCGAGAGTGGGGAGAGTCCGCTCTCCCTCTCGAAATGCTCTCTTATGGCCATGCGTATATAGCCTCTGTCAGGAAAATCCTACTCACTGCCTTCTCTTGGCGGGGGTGTTGTCTACGAAATTGAGAGGACGAAGAGCGAATGTCCGGCGCTTTAACCGGATCCCAAAACAAATCAATGGTGCATATGGGCTCCAGTACCCTGCAGGAACAAATGGCGTATGAACCAATTGTTGGTCACCGGCTTCCATGGGACTGTATCTCCTTACGATGCTCCATTGCCTTGTGGATCAGTCGTTCAGGTCGAAGGCTCAGGGTGTGGCCCCTTAAGAAAACCACCTGCTTCGGTTTGGGCACCCGGGCAGTATCTCAGCCTTCACACATCGAATGAGATTTGTGTGGCGCATATGTATTTGGTGCCTCCTTGTACCAATATCTATGTGTTAAAATAAATAAATCCAAAGATTTAGTATTTTTTTTATCACTCCTACTAAACTATTCTAATCACTTTTTATTTTTTATTTCATCTTGCTAATCTCGGGTATGGGGAACTTGGGCTAACATATATGTGTCAGGTTCCATATTGATAATATCTGTTTGTTTACGTCATTTTGACTTTTACCACTTATTTTTTCAATAACTAAGAGTTTCACAGCTATTTCGTTGGGTATAGATAACCTGGTTGGTGTTCATGTGACCTGAAACGAAAAAGTTCAAAATCGTTGTCAACAGAGCAGGTGCATTTACTCTTATCTCTTGGAGCCCAACATCTTATGGCTTTAATTCACTTGATATTGTTTAACTTGAATCTTCCCATTGATGTTTTACGACTGAAATTGATCAGTCTCCTATTGGCATATGTGCATACTGTGCGTATGCCTCTATATTGCCTTAATTTACAAGCATTATAACCAATGATGGATAGTGGCTAACAGTGGAATCCAGGACGCGCGTCTCGTCCTGTTTGGGACTCGTCAGCTGGATGTACCTGCATCTCAGAGTTGATGTTCACTCTGGGACTCGAACTCAGTACCGTCCGCTTCAAACGCCATCGCGTTATCCACTTAGCTACTGAGTCCTGATAGCCACTTGCTTGTGCAATGGGTTGAAGTTTAATTCACTTGATATTGTTTTATTTGAATCTTCCCATTGATGTTTTTGGACTGAAATTGATCAGTCTCTTATTGGCATATGTGCATACTGTGCGTATGCCTCGATATTGCCTTAATTTACAAGCATTGTAAGCAAAGATGGATGAAGCGGACGGTACTGAGTTCGAGTCCCAGAGTGAACATCAACTCTGAGATGCAGGTACATCCAGCTGACGAGTCCCAAACAGGACGAAACGCGCGTCCTGGATTCCACTGCTAGCCACTATCCATCTTTGCTTACAATGCTTGTAAATTAAGGCAATATCGAGGCATACGCACAGTATGCACATATGCCAATAAGAGACTGATCAATTTCAGTCCAAAAACATCAATGGGAAGATTCAAATAAAACAATATCAAGTGAATTAAACTTCAACCCATTGCACAAGCAAGTGGCTATCAGGACTCAGTAGCTAAGTGGATAACGCGATGGCGTTTGAAGCGGACGGTACTGAGTTCAAGTCCCAGAGTGAACATCGACTCTGAGATGCAGGTGCACCCAGCTGACGAGTCCCAAGCAGGACGAGACGCGCGTCCTGGATTCCACTGCTAGCCACTATCCATCTTTGTTTATCTTATGGCTTTATTTACAACTACTGATACTGTTAATGATTCTTGATAATATTCTCTTGTTGGGCTATTGTAATGTGACAAATTAAGTTGACGCACACATATGTCAGGTTCTATATTACATATGACTGACTGAATAGTCTTCTTTTATTTGTGATTAGATTTTAGTAGCGATAAACACTATCTGAACATTCTTACACTGTCATTCTAAGCATTTGAATACTGCATTGTATTAGCTTCATATAAAACTGTGTCATCCATGTACTTCCGGTTAAAATGATGCGGGGTCCTCAGATAGACAGTCAATCTGTGGATATTCATGAATAGATTTGCAGAAAAATGTTAATTTAAAATTGATCAACGCTAATGCTCAGTTTCATCATGGGCTGTACATTACATGTTTTGCAAACAATGATATTTTGTCTTCTGTCAGAGATAGATATGTTGTTAATTTTTTAATCCCAGTTTTACGTATCTCTATTTATTCTTTCAATAGCTATTGCTTTATCACTGAAAGATACTGACAGTTCAACGCCATCTAATCTAAACAAGCAATCTGTTTCCACTTCAAATGAGAAGTCTAGTTTATATCCTTCCTGCTCTCAACTTCCATTTAGTTCACTTTCAACTTATTCGACACCAGCATCATCATCAAATGCCTCTAAAACAACTGCTCCTCGCAATTCAAAGGGACAGGTAAGAGCATTGTACGACTTTGAAGCAGCTGAAGACAATGAATTATCATTTAAAGCTGGAGAGCTTATCCTACTCTTAGATGATTCCGATGAGAACTGGTGGCTTGGAAGCAATAATCAAGGTCAAGGTTTATTTCCTGCTCAATTTGTCAAACGTGAAACTGAACTTGATGGAATAAATAATGTCAAATCAAGTTCAAGCGAAGTTTCTCACAATACAGATGTTAAAAAAAACCAATCTACCAAAAAAATTGTCCCCCAACTTGATGAGAAAAAAATCGATGAATGTTTACGTCTAATTACAACTGTAGATCCTACTGGTGAATTTCAACAAGATCCACCAGAATTAAGTCAACTTGAAGCAGAATGTATAGCAATGGTTCCACTTGTTGATCCTGAATTAAAATTAGTTGATAAAGAAATTATTATGCTTACAGAATTAAATCAACGTTTATTAGATGCATTTCAATTGTATCATGATATCATGTCACGTCAGAATCCGTCAAATGCTTATTATACTGGAATGTCCAATACTATTGCTAACACCACGACTAACCCAATAAATCCAACAATCTCTTATTTACCACCAAATACTCCAAATATATATCCATACACCCAGCCAACATCGTCGATGACTAAATCTGCATCTGCAGTACCTATGGTATGTATGTACTATTCATTCTTATTATTATTTTATTATTACGTAATCACCTTGGTCCATAATTCACTTCTTCATTTTTATTGCTACATAACTAGTTGAGCGACAGAAATATGATGTTTGTTTTTGTTGTTGTCATGAGTGTTGATCTATATATTGTATTATTTTTATTGGGAATTTATTTATGTAACTGATGGATATATCTATCAATGATCTTCAAAATTATCACATTGAATACTAGATATTGTAGAGGTTCCGTTTGATTTGAGAGTGAAAGGTCGACAAATTGGAGTCGGGACTTCACCAAGTCCTCTGGTACAGCTTAGGGTGTGGATAATCCACTCTCCCTCTCCGAACGCTCACATAGCCACGCGTACGTACATGCCCCATTCGCTGACTTTTCACAGCAGGAGCGTTTCTTACGAAATTCAGAGGGGAAAAAGCAAATGTCCAGGGGGCTTAAACCGGGTTGATGGGTAAGGAGGATCCATCTAGAAGAGTTGAAAAAGTCTTTGGTACGGCTTTTAATAATAGTGCTTTAGAACCTCGCGGTTAACAGAGTCGAACCTGCCATAAGGTCAAAGAATACCACTATAGTTGGTCGTCGGAAAGTATGTCTGTGTTTCAAAACCTGGTGATGAGTGAATATCTAGTCAATACAACCATGTCTGATACTCAGGTCGGGTACAAATTGACAATAAACTGCACTTCTAACAGTAGTATCCTTGATGTGATGTCATAATCATCATGTTCATTCAATTTAATAAACGATTATCTTCATCCAAATCTTGCTCATCATTGTGTTTCTTCTATAGTTTTGCAACCACCTTCATGATTGTACGTCTCTTAAAGAGAACTTTGTGCTTTTTATTCAAAGCACGTTATTCTATGTTGAATTTCTCCTTGATTAACTCAGTTGAACGATAAAACATTTTTCACATATTATCTTTTAGAATGGATTCACTATGCCAACAGATTTGAATGGAACTGTGATGTTCCCTCCTACTAACTCTTACCCTATGTCAACTGGAATTTATGCAAATCCACAAACAGAAAATTTCAGTGGTAATCTTCCTCAAAATCTTCATAGTGGTCAAATATCATCTCAACCCTTTCCTGTACAGCAGTTTTATGAATCAAATCAAATAGTACCTCCTGATGTTGTTACACAACAAATGCAATCATATCCATCTAGCAGTAACAATTATGGAGGTAGGTATAAAGAGTATACGTGTGTGTTTTAAAAATCGCTTTCTTCAGTTCCCTCTCTCTACCCCTTCCATCATCCTCATCCATCTCTTTCTTTTTTTTTTCCTAATGTAGTTCCAATTTATCCAATGAATGATTCTCAATCTATGGTGTATACAGATCAATCAAACAACACCCTCTCAACTCAGAGAAAACAATAACAACCGTAGGTTTCATCTAGTTTCATAAAAAAAATGGTAAGTTTTATGTTGTGTTTTTTTTTCATTTCAATGTCAGTCAGTCAGCTACAACGTAGGACCAGACACATATATGCGTCGGTCCAAGTTGCCATACCTCATTAACACAACAAGATGAACACCGGATTCATAAAAGTAGTTAATTCAGAAGTGGTGGTAATATATAAAAGAAAAATTGCATATAAGGATATAGTAGAGGAAGAAAGAATTAGTTCGTATAGTTCATTATACCAGTTTCTAATGTATGACCATAATGTAGATTTTCATTTCTATCATAAACTTGAACTGTTCTCATAGTTTTATTTTATCGTACTGTCGTAGAGCGGTGACTTAGTGATTAAGGCGTTCGACTTTAGTTTAAACTCCTCTCCACCTACTTCAGTTTGTCCAACTAGGTTGTAGTATCGTTAACTTTTACATTTAGAGTGTAGCTCATTTTCAAGTACCTGGTCAATAATTAATACTGCTATTTAAATAAGATAATGATGAAACTCAATATGAATAAATTCTATTTTATCGTTGATTGATATCCTAAACAGAAATGGTGTGTTTCTCAGATCTGATTAAGTTTCCCTATTTATTTAAATACATAAACATTGATACACTGAAGTACCAAAATATCATATGCACCATACAAAGTAATTATCACTAAATTTGCGTATGGGCTGGGATAATGCCCAGGTGCCCAAACCAAGGCAGGCGGTTTCCTCAGGGGGGCACCAACGACCTAGCCTTTGACCTAGAAGTCTTATCCACAAGACATTGGGCCAACATTAGTAGGTGCGATACCATGGTAGTCGGTGATCGAAAATATTTATTATTATTTATTTATTTATTTATTTGAACACAAATATTGGTACAAGAGAGCGCCAATATATATGCGCCACACGATCGAAAATAAGTTCACACACAATTTGTCCCTAAATGGTCATGGAGTCCATGTGTATCATTGGTCTGGAATCAAGATTTTCCAACTCTCTTAGATGGATCCTTCTCCACCAACCCGGTTTAAGCCTCCATTGGACATTGGCTTTTCCTCCTCTCAATTTCATAAACAACACTCCTACTGCGGGAAGAACGTCTTTGGTAATGGGTATGTAGTAGTATGTACGTACATGTGACCATGCAAGAAAATTCGGCGAGGACTCTTCCCAAACTTGACCTAACCAGGACATTTAGCAACCTAGATGTGCACCATGTTAAAAGTGATAAGCATTTGTGTTCAAATAATCACTGGTTATCGTTTTATGCGTAGTATATCCAGATTAATGAACAAGAAAGGAACGGTTTCACAGAGAATTTCATCCAGGAAGTATGCATTCTAATTCACATCAGTTGTTTGATAATCATAATAACTACCTTTATTGTAAGGGTAAATAAGTATTTACTCAATTGTATGGTTATTCCTCACTTTTCTCCGCGACATTAACCACCAACCTCATGTTACGTATACATACATCAAATGATCCTTGTTTTTAAACTTTTTCATTAGTATTCCGTCATTAAATTGTAATCGATTTTATTTTCTCTCTTCAGCTAGGAATCCTGAGAACCATTTTATTCATGAAAATGAAAGATATGCTATCAAGACGGGTTTTGTTCTGTTTTTTCACAAAAGAAAAGTTTCATTCCTTCGATATATAATAAACAAATGATTTCTTTTATAAACAAATACCTTCAGTTAAGTAAGCTCTAATCAACTTTAACCGTTTTCAATTTGTCTTTCATTCTCAAAAGTACTACTCATTAGTAGTAGTTCATCTGTTTGTTTGTTTGCTTTTTGTCTGTAAACTTCTATCAAATTATCTTCATTCTATCATTTGTGATTTCATTAAATATAATTATTATAAATAATTGTAATTATTCATTGTACTTCTATAATTAAATGAGATCTCATTAATACCTTTTTATTCAAATGATTCATAATTACAATGATTAAGATCATGAGTTAGTTGAAACTAGACCACCTTGGAAAACCTGGAAGCACTGGACAGCCGTTTCGTTCTACTGTGGGACTCCTCGGCAGTGCCCATCCACGATCTTGCTTCTCGAGACTGAAACCCAGGACAAATAAGTCTCGTGAGCGAGCACTTAATCACTAGACCACTGAGCCGGCATCCAACGATGTTAATGTCTAACTTCAATTAATCCACAAAATTGAGCGACACATCCACCATTGTCATCAGTGAGTTACTATCTCACAGCAGACCTGGTTGAACTCCGCTGGTCACTACTTCTCAGTAGAACTCCAGGATATACCTCGTGAAGCCAGTCACTAGTAAGCATATATTGATTAATATCAGATGGGTTTTGTGGATATTATAGTAATTTCAATGGTTAAGATCATGACTCATGATTACTATAATATCCACAAAACCCATCTGATTCATAATTAATTGAGGTTAGTACTACGGATTGTATGTGTTATCACTTGTATAATATAAGTTTGATAAACGAGTACTGAACACTAGATGGTAAAATTCGAAGGATACAATGCGTTTAAAGTGAAAAACAAAAGAAACTTGTTTGTGAGATCAAACTATTTACACAAACTGCAAAAAATGAATGAATTTTACAGAATAGACTACTAGGTAAAAGAATAGGTTTTTTATGATAATTCCCATGCTTATTATCAGGAGAAGCGAACGTTTTGTGGACCACTTGCTCGCCAATCAATTAAAATCTGACTTGAATTATTTATTGATCTAAACACAAATGTTGAGACAGAGGGGTACCAAAATATGTGTACCACATAATAAGAAAGAGATAGAGAGAGGAAGGTAACCAAAAAGTATTAAAAAATTAATGATAGGAGAAGCATTTCAATTAAGAAATATACAATCACAAAGGATTCTTTTAGATAATGAAGTTACACCAGAACTGCTACTGGCTTCTATCCTGGGTCATGTTTATTAACGTCGCAAGCCACTAGATCCGTGAAGGACAAACAGATGTCATACACTGACCACCTTCGCTTTATACAACCATCAACAAATAGTACACGATGTGGAATCTGCTTGGATGACATTCGTAGTACATGTGCAAGCCACCGAAGTCGATGCTTCAAGATTGTGACTCCGATTGAATTATCATCACTGACTATATTAGACCGGATTCTAGGGTTACTGTCGATCTCAAGCCCGGGTAAACGAGAATAGTTGGGCAAGAGGTCAGCTACCCCATCCCATAGAAAAAACGCTAACCAGAATAAACTGGGAGTTGAGGGAAGAATTATGAAAGCCGAGATTCTTCGAGTCTGATTCCCTTCATAACTAGAAAAATTATTATTATAGGTACATGGAATGTTCGGACAATATGGGAAACCGGAACGACTAGTCAAATAGCTGCAGAAATAAGGAGATGCGACTTGGTGGTGCTCTGAATCAGTGAAACCCATTGGACCGAAGCTGGATGTTATATCTCGACGAGAATAATGAATAGTAACTGTTGCAACCTATTTGCAGGCTAATACTATACATATATATTTATTGTATAATTGCTAAGTAACTAGATTATGTATATTTATTTTGACCTATAGACTAATATTATACGATTTCCCATTCTTAATTTATACCCAGTTCATTGACTAGTCTTCCACAGTCTCAGACACTTTTTGGCTTGGTCTTGCACAAATGTTATTTTCTATTTTATGGTCTGTTTGGTTCACCTATAAATCCGAATGACATTTCCTAAAGCCATCGTGTCGAGTATAAGGTATTTAACCACCGAGAATAATTGAAAATGGTTACACAATAACCCATATTGATTGAAATTAGATATGTAAACCAATGGATGCCGGCTCCATGACCAACGAGTTTAGCCGTGAGACTCTGGGTTCAATTCAAAGCAGCTGGTTCACTGCAGAGGTGTCCCGCACCAGAAAAAAAGCTTTCCGGTGCTTTTAGTAGTTATCTAACTTAGGTTGCTTTGTGATCCCAATAACATGGCCACTGTTACCATATTTCGAAAAATATATACATAAATCAACAACAAGGAAAAATATAGTGAGACTTGATGTTGCGCAGGTGCTGTGACTGACAACTTCAATGTTTCTCGTGAGCTTGTCTGACGCTTGGTTTATGAGAACTAATCAGGCTCACTTACAACTTAATATAATGAAACTGACCGGGAAATCACACTTGATGGAGAAGCCTTGGAAGAGGTGGGAAGTTCCACGTACCTGGACAGCATCATCGATGGAGGAGGATTGTAAAATATAAATGCAAAAATTGACAAGGCAACGGCCACATTCCTACAGTTGAAGGACATACGGAACTCAAAATAACTACCAACCAATATCGAAGTCACAATCTTGAATACAGACGTCAAGACAGTTCTACTGTAGGGAGCTGAATCTTGGAGAGCTACTACAACCAACATCGAAAAAGTACAAGTGTTCATAAACAATCGTCTACATAAGATACTCAATGTCCATTGGTCGAATATTATCAGCAGCAGCGTACAAACCAACTTCCAGCTGGAAAGGAAATTAGGAAAAGACGCTGAAAATGGATATAGCGTACATTGTGGAAATCACCAAACCGTATCATGAGGGAAGCTCTCGTTTTGAATCGCGAAGAGAAACGAAATAGTGGAATTTCAAAGAGCATAGTGCATCGAGAATCGGAAACAAACATCAAATGAATGAATATCAACTGAAAAGGATTGCCCAGGACAAAGTTGGATGGAGAATGCTGGTGGGCGGCCCACGCTCCTTCGTGAGGGGTAACAGAAGTAATGACCGGGAAACATGGTTATATACAGATTATTGGCAAAAAATCAAACATGCAACTGGAGGAAACGAATTAAAACTTGTATCTGTGTGAATAAATATGTTGTCTTGTTTTTCTAACGACCATTTAAGATTTCTGATATCATTAACAAACCATGGAACCCTGAACATTCTCCCTTTCTCTTCATCTCTTATTCATTCTATACCATCTACTTGTGCAATTTCCATTTCGGATTAATTTCATACCATTATATTGTACTGAACGAGAACTCAGGTGGAGAAAATCAATCTATTGTATAGCTCGAAATTACAGTCTTCGTAAATTATGAAAACCTTACATTAAATACTTTATTTGCACATCTTCCATCATTTATCCTTCAGATTGTACATGATTCTTGCATTTCTCAATTCCTTTCTACGTTTAACACTGATGAGCTACCCATTCACACTTACCGCCTATTAGTGACCAGCCCCAGTGAACCCACCGGATATTGAAGCAGCACCTACAGACTTTCCCGTAGATGTCACTCCACCAACGATCAAAGTAGTCAGCATGGCCATCAGACAAATCAAGAGGGGGAAACAGCAAGACCAAACAACATATCAGCTGAAGTCAGACATAGAAGTAACTGCAAGTATGCTTCATGTTCTATTCAGGAAGATTTGGGAGTAAGAACAAGTGCCGACGGACTGGAAAGGAAGATATCAAAGAAAGGCTATAGCAAGTGTGAGAACCACAGAGGCATCACAATCACTATGAGTATCAAGAAAATTTTTAAACTGTTGAACAGACTCTTATGTGATATGTGAATTTCAGCCGCATAGCTGTTAGTATCTACTAGAACACGATACGTAGTTTGTTCCATAATCAGTTGTCCTCAATGGAAACATGCTTAGAGGTGAATTGATTGACAAATACCTCTAATTCCTCATTTAATTAATCCTTAGCATATTATATGCGTAATATCGGTGCAATTTCTGGCTGTTTGTTTTTACCATGCCTAATACTGTAAACAGTGACATTGCTCGCAACACTGAACACCAGTAGTGTACCATGAAGTCCATCCCTAGTAGGATAAATAGATTATGTCGCGACAGTTCGTATACTGGTTGTTTATTGTTATTTCATTTTTGCATTTAATCTAATTTATGAACAGAGGAAACTTGAACAGGTAACCGAATGACTACAGCACCGTTTAAGACATTTTTGGTTGGTACTTGTCGATAGTCAATTGTCAAGTTCATCTAAGAATAAAATCGGACTGGGATACTGTTTAATTTATAAATCCGAATGATATTTTCTAAAACTTACTGCTAATACCTTTTTTTAGCATGTTTATGTTAACTATCGCTTGATAAGTCAGATAATTTGCACTTGCATTTCAACAAGACTAATTATAGAAGTAATCTTACCTAGAGTCACTTGTATGACGTTCATTTCTTATTCAGAAACTATTTCGAACTTTAAAACAATGAGATCGAAATTTTATTTTGTCGGTAACTCGTTCAGACATTCACTTTGTACGATTTGTTTATTAATGAACTTGATGTATACACATACGTTACACATTATATGTGGTCGTTCATCATTACAATTAATTATAAAATTACTAACTGGTCACGGCTTCTCACTAAAACGCTGGCAATTTTCAAACTTAACCATTCAATAACATTAAACAATCTCCACAAATCCCTATTCTATTACTCAACATATGTTCACTGGTGAATAACTTTAAAAGGAAATTCTCAGAATTGTGACTAGTACAGTCCAATCGTGTCGGGTATAAGGCATTTAACTATCGAAGATAATGGAAGATGGTTGCGCAATACCGCATATTGATTGAAATTAGACATGTAAGTCAATAGATGCCGACCACATAATCAAAATTTTAAGCTTGAGTTGCGAGATACCAATATTTCTGGGGTAGATTCCAGGCAGCTGTGTTTTTATATGTCCATTGTTAGACTCCCACACCAGGACAAAACAGATTTTCGGTGCTTTCTAGTTATTAATAGTTGCCTAACTTAGGTTGGTTCGTGAGCTCAATAACACGGTAATTGTTACCATATTTCAGAAAACCAACAGCAAGACTTGATAAAAGATGCTATTGTAATAAGCAGGTAGCTAGTTTAGGGAACATAGAATACTTATTAGGTTCAATAACAT